GTGACCCCATGACCCCATAAGTGACCCCATGACGCCATGTGCGACTCCATAACCGCACAACCTCATAACCCCAAAACCTGCATGTGACCCCATAAACCCATGAGGGACCCCATATCCCCACGAGGGACCCCATAACCCCATAACAGACCCATAGGTCCATGCGTGACCCTATAACCCCATATGTGACCCCATAACCCACGTTTGACCTCATAACACCATAACTGTCCCCATAAGTCGACGTGTGACCCCATAACCCCACATGTAACCCCATAGCCCCATATATGACCCCATAGCCCCACGTGTGACCCCGTGACCCCATAACCCCATAACAGACCCCATGACCCCATAAGTGACCCCATGACCCCATAACCCCATATGTGACCCCATAACCGCCCCCATAAGTCCCCAACCCCACGTGACCCCATACCCCACACGTGACCCCACAGCCCCACGTGCCCCCTCATGTGACCCACACTCCCACGTGACACCCCCAAACCCACGTGACCTCCCACGTGATCCCTCCCAGCCGCACGTGACCCCGCCCCTCCCCCAGGTCTCACCTGGCTCTCACCCCGAACTTCCGGGCCGTTTGGGGGCGGAACCGCAGCACCTGTGGGGGAGGGGCGGCAGTGGGGCATAGCGGGACCCGTATGGGAACCAGAGCCGCCCTATAACTGCCCCAAAGCTGCCCCATAGCCGCCCTATAACTGCCCCATAGCCGCCCCATATCTGCCCTATAACTGCCCCAAAGCTGCCCCATAGCCGCCCTATAACTGCCCCATATCTGCCCTATAACTGCCCCATAGCTACTTTATAACTACCCCATATCTGCCCTATAACTGCTCCATAGCTGCCCCATAGCTACCCTATAACTGCCCCATAGCCGCCCCATATCTGCCCTATAACTGCCCCATAGCCGCCCCATATCTGCTCCATAGCTGCCTCATATCTGCTCCATAACTGCCCCATAACAGCCCCAAAGTTGCCCCATAGTGACCCCATAGCAGCCCCATAGCTGCCCCACAACCAGCCCTACAGCCCTGCCCCATAGCAAACTCAGCCCCACAGCCACCCCATAGCGACCCCCACAACTGCCCACAGCAAACCCCACAACCACCCCATAGGCAGCCCCACAGCTGCCCCATAGCCAGTCCTATTGCCCCACCCCATAGCAAACCAAGCCCTATAGCCACCCTATAACTGCCACCCTATAACTGCCCCATAGCAAACCCCACAGCTTTGCCCTATAGCAAAGCCCACAACTGCCCCACGGCCAGCCCTACAGGCAGCCCCATAACCAGCCCTATTGCCCCACCCCATAGCAAACCAAGCCCCACAGCCAGCCCTACAGGCAGCCCCATAGCTGCCCCACAGCCACCCCATAGGCAGCCCCATAGCTGCCCCATAAGCAGCCCTACAGTCCTGCCCCATAGCAAACTCAGCCCCACAGCCACCCCATAGTGACCCTCACAGCTCTGCCCCATAGCAAACTCAACAAACACCCCACAGCCAGCCCTATAGGCAACCCCACAGCCAGCCCTACTGCCCCACCCCATAGCAAACCAAGCCCTACAGCCACCCCACAGCTCTGCCCTATAGTCACCCCCATAACTGCACCATAGCAAACCCCACAATCGCCCTACAGGCAGCCCCACAGCTGCCCCATAACCAGCCCTATTGCCCCACCCCACAGCAAACCAAGCCCTATAGCCACCCCACAGGTCTGCCCTACAGCCGCCCTCATAACTGCTCCATAGCCACCCCCACAGCTCTGCCCCATAGCAAACCCCACAGCAGCCCTACAGGCAGCCCCACAGGCAGCCCTACAGCCCCGCCCCACGGCAACCTGCCCCACAGCCGCCCCATATCACGACCCCGCGGTGACCCCTGGGGGCAGTTCGGGGCTTTACGGGGGGGGTTCGGGAACTTCCGGAGGGGTTCGGGGATTTCCGGGGGGGGGTTCGGGGATTTCCGGTGGGACTCGGGGGGTTTCCGCGGGGTTTCGGGGGTCCCCGCTCCGCGCTCACCGCCGCGCGCTGCCCCATGGCCTCCCGTAGCTCCGCCCCCCGCGCCCTCCCATTGGCCGCCGCGCCGCAAGGCCCCGCCCCCCAGCCGCGAGCGGGCCGAGCGCGGATTGGAGGGATGAAGAAGAGGTTCCGCCCCTTTCACCGCGGATTGGTCGGGGAGGAGGGGAGGGGGCGTGGCGCGAATCCCCGCCCCTTTCGGCTCCCGCCGCGCGCTCTGATTGGCTGCAGGAGGGAATGGGCCGACGGGGCGGGGTCAGGGAGCTTGGCCACGCCCCCAGGAGGAACCACGTGACGAGGGGACTCCGCAGTGTCGCTGCGGGGTCACCTTCGGTCATCGAGCCAAGGGGGGGGGGGGGGGGGGGGGGGGGGGGGGGGGGGGAGAGGAGCGGATGAGAATCGCAAAGTTCCGTAAAAATTGGGCGAAATGTTCGGGGAAAAGCAAACGGGGCTGAAGGGAACGGAGCTGAGGTCTGGCAGCCTGCAGCATCTGGGCGGCACGAAGGGGCTGCGTGGCTCTGGGCAGCTGGGGGCAAAGGTGAGCCTTGCTGCCACGGGGCGCGTGCACCCACACAGACACGTGTGCACACACACACACACGCACACACACGCACACACACACGCACACACACGCACACACACAGTGACAGAAGATACGGAGAAGGCGGTGATGCTGTGGGGATGGAATGAATGCTGTTCCTGCATTTGATATGAAACAGTGCGAGAATCCTTTGCTGTCTGGCTCCAGGCTTGCTCCCGGAGGTGTTTGTTGCGCTAAGACTGACTCGTCTAGGAGATGAGCGGTGGGTGTTGCCGTGCGCCAATCAACAGCACCGCGTGGACAATTGGAGCCGTTTGCCTATGGCAGAGCGCGCTCAGGAGTGTTAGCTGGGGGAAGATCTGTGACCAAAGAACTCCAGCTTGCTCTGGGAAACTGGGGGATGATGCCATTGCATCCTGTGAAGGCGAGGTACGAGTTGGCGCCTCCCTGCTCCCTCTTCTCTGCTGGCGAGGCCAGGAAGATGGGAACAGAGCAGTTTCTGCTAAGATCCCAGAGCCAGAAGCTGCCGCTCCAAGGAGGGCTGACCCAACCGCTTTGGATTTGAGCTGTCACTGCAAAGGCAGCTGACTCGACCACTTGGAAAGCATTGAAAAGGGGCCATCATCGCCATGGTTGTCGTCGTCGTGGTTATCACTGTCAACAGAACAACACCTGATGAGCCACCGCTACTGAAGATCAAAGGCTGAACTACGGCCCACGCTGGATCCATGGTGCTGACTGTGTCCCTTCTGCTTCCTATACAGACTCCTTGCTGCTTCTTTCCTACCTTTTCTATCGCCCTCCTTCCCTCCCCCATTACCCCAATTCATAACGGCGTCCATCCTCCCCTTCCCCATCTCCCTAATTAACATCCGTAATAAACTGGTCGGACCGACATTGGAACCGTTGTTTCTTCATCTCACGCCGGGTGCACAGACACTAAAAGAACCTCCTCTCCCTCCTGGAGATCGGAGCGAGACGCAGAGCAACGTGTGTGAGGAAGTGGGGCATCACGCATCTGTGTTCTGCCACTCATCCCTAGCAATAATTCAGCTAAGAAGTAAAACACTGTAAATGTTAGCGGTGTGTTTTAGGAACATTATTGCTGAATTATGTGATCAATTCTTTCTTGCAAAACCAGAACAGTTGTTAAATGTTCCAACCAATGCGCGTACAGCGTTAGGGGTGTTGGAAACGTATTGTAGAGTTGTTCTGTTAGGATGAGAAACTCCCAGCAAAAGAAAGGCAGGTTCAGCAAACATCAAAGAAATGAGGGTAAGGAAAGGACAAGATAAGGATGAACTCTTGCTGAGGAATGTAGGTGAGCAGGGTGTGCGGTCAGATAAGAAAAGGACACCTGGGAGCTCTGCTGACACAAGAATCGCAGAATCACAATGGCCAGGGTTGGAAGGGAGCTCAAGGATGATGAATCTCCAACTCCCTGCCACATGCAGGGCCACCAACCTCCACATTTCACAGCAGCCCAGGCTGCCCAGGGCCCCATCCAACCCGGCCTTGAACACCTCAGGGATGGACGGGGCATCCACAGCCTCTCTGGGCAGCTGTTCCAGCACCTCACTACTCTTTCTGTAAAGAATTTCTCCCTCACATCCAACTGAAATCTCCCCTCCCTCAACTTCAAACCATTTCCCCTCATCCTGCAGTTATCAACACTTCCCAAGAGCTGACTCCCCTCCTGTCTGTAGGCTCCCTTGAGGTGCTGAAGGCTGCAATGATTCACCCCGCAGCTTCTCTTCTCCATGCTGAACGAGCCCAGCTCCCTCAGCCTGTCTTTGTACGGAGGTGCTGCAGCCCTGCTCATCTCTGTGGCTCCTCTGGCCCCTCTCCAACAGCTCCCTGTCCTTCTTGTCCTGGGGGCTCCACGCTTGGATGCAGACAAGGAACGGGTCAGGATGGATTACTGCTGACGGAGACAACGGGTCTGCTCCCATGCAAAGGGGACCCCGCTGCTCATGGCGGGGCCATACGTTGTAAGTCAGGAATGTAATGAATGTGGATGTGAATTCCACTGATTGTTATTCGTTTGGCCTCTGTCTGTACCGAGCTTCTTCCTTACGGGGTGCAAGTTCGGAGGAGCTGTCCCTCTTGCACCCAGCTTGGCACCCAGTGCTGAACAAAACATGCCTGCTTTATAACCTAACTCTGGCTTATATAGTTGGATTCCGCGAGTCACCACCTATCTTGCCCCATGTACAACAACAATCAGTGGAATTCGCATCCACATTCATTACATTCCTGACTTACAACGTATGGCCCCGCCATGAGCAGCGGGGTCCCCTTTGCATGGGAGCAGACCCGTTGTCTCCGTCAGCAGTAATCCATCCTGACCCGTTCCTTGCGCAATGTCACAACAGAGTTCCCAGGTGTCCTTTTCTTATCTGACCACGCATCCTGCTCGCCTATATTCCTCAACAAAAGTTCGTCCTTATCTTGTCCTCCCCTTACTCAGAATGTCGGGGCCCGGCAGGAGACAAACACACGGCCACAGAATTGATCAGAAAGTCTCAACTTTAATCAGAAGGTTGCGTGCATTTATGTTGGCGCTAATGAAGCTCATACACATTGCAAAGCCCGAGCTCCTGATAGGCTCTTCAGCTGCTTGTGGCCCCAGCCCTTCTTTGTACTTTTTGTGGTTAGACCATGCCATTCATCTTTCTTATTTCTACATTCTCCGTCCTTCCTACACATCCTGTTACTTTGCTCAAGGACTCTCTCCTCGTTAGCCTTGTTTACATCCTGTTACATTGCTCAGGGACTCTCGTCTCACTAGCCGAATACTGTCTGTTGGGAACACCCAAACGATTTTGTCAGGCCGGTATCTCTGATAAAAGCAGATTTTATTTGCGATTGCAGTGGCGGGTGTCCCGCAAGCAGGAGCGCAGCTATGGACACAAGATGCCAGTCTTTATACCCTGCTTTTCCCTTTATCCATCCCCCTGCCCTGTTTCCCCATTGGCTGGGCGCTCCAGGTTCACGATCTTATAGATCATAGATTGATGTGGTGGTTGGGTTGGAAGTGTTGTTATGGATCGTGGAACCATGGAATGGTTGTGTTGGAAGGGTCCTTGAAGATCACAGAGCCGTGGGATGGCCCTTATAGATCATAGATTGATGGAATGGTTGGGTTGGAAGGGTCCTTGAAGATCAGAGAGCTATGAAATGCACATTATTTACCTTGGACTGATGGGATGGTTGGGTTGGAAGTGTTCTTACAAATCATGGAGATGTGGGTTGGACCTTTTAGATCATGGAACCATGGAATGGTTGAGTTGGGAGGGTCCTCAAAGATCACAGAGCCGTGGGATGGCCCTAATAGATCATAGATTGATGGGGTGGTTGGGTTGGAAATGTTGTTATAGATTGTGGAACCATGGAATGGTTGTGTTGGAAGGGTCCTTGAAGATCACAGAGCCGTGGGATGGCCCTTATAGATCATAGATTGATGGAATGGTTGGGTTGGAAGGGTCCTTGAAGATCAGAGAGCTGTGGAATGGACCTTATTTACCATAGATTGATGGGATGGTTAGGTTGGAAGTGTTCTTATAGATAATGGAGACGTGGGTTGGACCTTTTAGATCATGGAACCATGGAATGGTTGTGTTGGAAGGGTCCTTGAAGATCACAGAGCCGTGGGATGGCCCTCATAGGTCATAGAATGATTGGATGGTTGGGTCGAAGGGTCCTTACAGATCACAGAGGACAGAATGATTGGGTCGATCGTGGTCCCTCAAGCTCATAGCGCCGAGGCAGGGTTGGATTGGCAGGGTCCCTTACAGGGACGCCCGCCATTGCAATCACAAATAAAACCTGCTTTTATCAGAGATAAACCGTCCCGACACAAATCATTCGGATGTTCCCAACGGGCTGCACAGCAGGCGCGACTTTATGGCGGCGCTGCGGGTGCAGCGGGGTTCAGTGCTCCCAGCTGGCACAGCGCAGAGCAGGATGCCAGCCATTTGTCTGCCTACCTTACCTATTCAGCAGGGCCACCCAAGTCCCATTAACATAGTCATTACTTTCCCTGGAATTCATTTACATGCTGTCCCCCCCCCAGTGCGTGCGCAGCAGCTTCCATTGGATGAAGGCTCGACGTCTTCCTCCTCCTCTGGTTGCTGCTCGTTCCGGGCTGAAGTCAGACGCCTTCCTCGCCACGTCCTTCCGAGCTGCGTCCAGCTCTGAGCTCTTCTCCCACCCTGCAGAGCTCAGCAGTTTTAATTCTGCCCATCTTCCCTCCCCGCTGCTTTCTTAGGGCCGCTTCCTGCTGGCGGCAGAGGCTCCCTTTGGAGAGCCTGGGCTGGCAAAAGGCAAAGCCATGAGCTCCCCCTGAGCCTGCAAAGCTTCAATTAAGTGATGCTGTTTGCCAATCTCTTTGAAGTTGGCAAAACCGGGCGATGCTACGGACCCCTCACACCTTGTGTTCTTCAGCCTATCATCACATCCTGCCTGCTACATCCTTGGCTTCCTTTACAGCCAGGCTATGTCTACCCTTCATCCCCTAACTCAGAACTCACTCCGTGAGAAGGCTGGGTGTGAAGGCAGGCACCCGGATACTCCCCTGTCTTTCTCCTGAGCTCATCTTTATACAAAGAAGGACAAGCAGATATCCTCAAAATAACGATCAGGTGTGGAAGGAGTCAATTAATTAACTGCAGATTGACGCTTACGCAGCAAAAATTTATGTCTGTCCAGTGTTTCCATGTTTAGTGAAGCGTCGAGGAGATTGTGAACCTGCAGTACTCAGCCAATGGGGAACCAGGGGAGAAGGAGATCAGCGTCGGGGAATAGGGAATAAAAGAGGTAACTCTGTTTTCTGGGTGCTCTCCTGCTTGCAGGAGGCCTGCCGTTGCCTTCTCTGCTTTATCAGAGACACTGTCCTAGAAAATTATTTGGTTATTTCCTACAATGCTGAGCATCTCCCGTCTCTGTCTCTAATGCTGGAGGCTGCCCTCAGGAGCCCTGCACCCCCGAGGCCCCAGGGGAAGTCGGGAGCAAGGAGGAGTTTGCCTCGGTTGCTGAGGACTGAGTTAAGGAGCAGTTCAACAATGCGGGCACACAGGAATCCGCGGATCCCGGTGGGATGCTCAGATCCATGGATGTTGATGGGATGCTCAGATCCATGGATCATGATGGGATGCTCAGATCCATGGATGTTGATGGGATGCTCTGATCCATGGATGTTGATGGGATGCTCTGATCCAAGGATGCTGATGGGATGCTCAGATCCAAGGATCATGATGGGATGCTCTGATCCATGGATGTTGATGGGATGCTCAGATCCAAGGATCCTGATGGGATGCTCAGATCCATGGATCATGATGGGATGCTCAGATCCATGGATGTTGATGGGATGCTCAGATCCAAGGATGTTGATGGGATGCTCAGATCCATGGATCATGATGAGATGCTCAGATCCATGGATGTTGATGGGATGCTCTGATCCAAGGATGCTGATGGGATGCTCTGATCCAAGGATGTTGATGGGATGCTCAGACCCAAGGATGTTGATGGGATGCTCAGATCCATGGATCCTGGTGGGATGCTCTGCGATTCAGTGAACGCTGTGCACAGACACTGAGGACGTAGGGGCCATGAATGAGTTTTTCACCTCGATCTTCGCTGGCAGCCAGGATTCCAGTGCTTCTGATGTCCCTGAGCCCTTCATCCCTCAACCTCCGGCTGAGTAGCTGGCTGTGATTTTGGAATGAAGTCCCCAAGCCATGTAAGGGACTGATATGGGGTCTGTATGGAGCTGTTATGGGGTCTGTATGGAGCTGTATGGGGTCTGTATGGAGCTGTATGGGGTCTGTATGGAGCTGTTATGGGGTCTGTATGGAGCTGTATGGGGTCAGGTGGAGTTGTATGGGGTCTGTATGGAGCTGTATGGGGTCTGTATGGAGCTGTTATGGGGTCTGTATGGAGCTCTGTGGTGTCGCTATGGGATCAGCAATGAGGTCAATAATGGGGTCAACAATGGGGTCAGTAATGGGGTCAGCAATGGGGTCAGCAATGGACACAGATCTGTGTGAGGGGGGGTCTGCGTGTGGTGCCTTACTGGGGGTGCTGGTCACGGCCCCCAGTTGCAGGGCAGCCCCTGCACCACATCCCCCCACATCCCGCACGCCGCTCCTGCAGCGCAGCCACGCGGATGGCAGCCGGCACCCAGCTGAGGAAAGCAGGGCTGCTGGTCACCCAACCAACCGTCCTGTGGATCTGTGACCTTTCAGGACCCTTCCGACACAACCCAACCCAACCCAACCATCCTGTTGCTCTGTGACCCTTCAGGACCCTTCCAACCCAACACAACACAACCCAACCCAACCCAACCATCCCATGGCTCTGTGACCTTTCAGGACCC